CACACACACACACACACACACACACACTTGGTTAAAGTGGTTTATGTGCTGGTTGTATTTCTTGTCCGAAGGGTTTTTTATTCTGGTTTTCTGCTGCGGTGCTCCCTGTGTGTGTCAGTCTTTGTTTCCCAACATACTAATAACATTCATTTAATTGCAAGCTGCATTATTATAAGCTACAGCAGTGAGTTGTTATTTAACCATATATCAAATAAAACTCATAACAGTCAATCCACATGCATGATGTTTGTGGAGATTAAAGAGTCAGTGATTGGAATGAGCGATAATGTGTTTTCTAGATCATGTGCTAGTTGTTTTTGTATTGAAACTGTGTGTGGTGATGATATTATCTCTGTCCGCTGAAGACGCTGGTTCCTGTTGTAAGGTTTGAGTCTCTTCTGTGTTTACATGCTGTGATGTGCTGTGAGCTTCAGTATCTGCCTCCTCACTGCTGTGTTTGTGTTCAGTGTGTTTGCGTCTCTGGACCAGCAGGGCGGCGCTCCTCACGGCCTGACAGTGCTGAATACAGGCGGCTCTCTGCCGGATCTGTCCAGTCTGCACTTCCCGTCCCCGCTGCCGACCCCGCTGGACCCGGACGAGCCGGGATACCTGTCTCTGAGCGCCGGGGGCAGCACGGGGAACCTGACCTGTACCCTCACGCAGCTCGGCATCCACAGCCCCAGCGCCTTCCACTCCACAGGTCAAAACACATTTACTGAGCCAAGACATTCATCTGTCCTGACACCGTCTGCATTCGTGCTTTATAGTATTTCTGTCAAGTCACCTTTATTGATACAGTGCTTTAGACAATACAGATTCACAGTAATTGCACAGTAATGCAAACTTATGAGACAAAGTCAAGTTCTGCTTTTAAAGGAGCTCTAAAATCATATTATTCTGATCAGTTCTGTTCCGTGTTCAAGTATGAAACCAGTTGGATACAACAGAAACAGAAGAATGTCATTATTCAGTTCAGTTCTAGCTTTTAACGAATCGAGCGAATCAGTGATTCACTCCAAGACGGTCACTCGCTTCATTTCTGAATGAATCAGCTTTTTGAACGAATCAAGTGACCAATCACAATCCAGTGTTCCAGTGTGTGGTGTAACATGATCTGCGAAGGTTACGGGGAGGGAGACGAGTCGTTCACTCATTTAGTTCATTTTTCAGGAATGAAACAGTTTTTCTGAAACAGCAGCTCTAATGCTGAATCTCAATGTTGTTTTATTCAAATAGCATGTTTGTATTTGCGCAGGTCTGCTGCCGTCTCTGCAGGGCACGTCCAGTAACCCCTCCCTCCAGTCGTCGCTTAGCAACCCCAACATCCAATCATCTCTCAGCAGCGACTCGTTCCCCAACTCGCTGAGCTCCGCCTCCCTGCACTCGTCCCTGAGCAACCCCTCCCTCCAGTCTTCGTTCAGCTCCTCCCCCTCGCTGAGGTCATCATTCAGCAGTCATTCGCTGCAGTCGGCTGTCAGTAACACCAGTTACAGCACTTTGGGCTCCTTCCCTCCGCAGATTAGCACGTCCCCACGCAGACGAGCGCAGCTGACCCCGGTGACCCTGCCTCCAGACACACGCAGACATCACCCCAAACAGTTCTCACCCACCTCCTCCACCCTCAGCTCCATCACACAGGTAAACTCACACTCTCACACAGAGTTACACACGCACACACACACACACACACACACACACACACACACACACACACACAC